AGAGAGAGAGAGAGAGAGAGAGAGAGAGAGAGAGAGAGAGAGAGAGAGAGAGAGAGAGAGAGAGAGAGAGATGCTGTTGACCACAAAGGTATTAAAGAATGAAATCTACAGTTGCTTTAAACCCCAAAGCGTAAAAAAAATTGCTGGGAAACTCAACCTTCGAAAAAAGATGGGGGGAAAAGGGGGGAAAAAGGGGTGGGAAAGAGGGAAAAAAGATATGTTGCCGTCGACCACAAACCTCAGGGGGGACAGAATACAGGTTCATTTTAGCGCAGGAGTACTCAGGTCTTCTGCGCCTCTTTAATCCTCTCATGTTGTCTGTGTCCCCCTGCGCCACTCCACCGCCGGCGTCTGGACATTGCACCGTCACCCATTCTCCGCACAGTGGCTTCTGGAGCTCGGGACTGCAAGGACAAGGAGTGTGCACATCCCCCAAGATGTCATTTCGACGGCCGGCGCTTGCTCCATTCCCCATCTGGACTCTGCCAACAAACACATTGCCATCATCAGAAGTTTTAAGGGTTAGTGAGGTTTTCCTGGAGTTTAGGGTCCTAGTTAGACCCCTCTAGAAGGGTTTTGCTTCTTTGAACCACCAGTATGTCCAACGCGGACTTTTACCGCACGTCAGTCTCAGCTGAACCGGCGCAGCAAGTGATTTGCCTGGCACCACCAGTATGTCCAACGCGGACTTTTTCCAGCGCTTGCTACATTCCCCATCTGGACCCTGCCAACAAGTCCATTGCCATGACAGAAAGTTGTAAACAAGGTTTTCCTGGACTTTAGGGGCCCATTAAGAACCCTTTGTAAGGGTGTTAAGGGCCTTGTGAGGGCTTTCCCGCACCTGCTATCCGGACCCTGCTAGCAAGCACATTGTCATCACAAGAAGTCGTAAAGGTTATACCGCCAGTACACAGCTGCAGCCTTGCAGAAAATGTTTTGACGCCTACTCCGAAAGTTTCGCCCCTCTGGCCTACCGGATCACAATGGCTGGCGGCGCCAGCCAAAAAGAGAAAAAAAGTGTGCCCCTTGCAAGTTCAGCAAAGCTTGGTGCGCAGTGGAGTGCCTCCAGGCGCGGGTGTACTGGTGGTTCAAGAGTAAAGGTTTTCCTGGAGTTTGGGGGCCATTGAGACCCCTTTGCAAAATTTACAAGGGCCTTGTATGGGCTTTTTTCTACAGTTAGGCACCCCATCCAGAGCTTGCCTGTTGGGACCCCTTTGTAAAGGCTTTAAGGACATTGTAAGGGCTTTAAGGACATTGTAAGGGCTTTAAGGACATTGTAAGGGCTCTCTACAGTCTGGTTAGCCCATTAATCTGAGTCAGGGTTAATCATAGTTGGCTCCCAAATTCTCAATGCATGGCTAGGGGTTATTATTATTTAGCTTTCTTTTTCAATGCAATGTGCCGGCGATGTCACTCAAAGAATCACTTTTGATTCTTTCAAAGCTTGAGAATATTTTTTTTGTTCTTAATCTTGTCTAAAGGGGGTAGCCCCTGACACTATTGTACCCACCTGAGCCAATCATGATTTGAACACATGATCTGTTAATGAACAGTTACATGTGTGTACCATTCAACATTGCATTGAAAAAGAAAGCTAAATAGTAATAACCCCTGGCCATGCATTGAGAATTTGGAAGCAAACTATGATTAAACCTGACTTAAAGTAATGGGGTATCTAGACTAGAAAATCCCTTATAAGGTATTTGCACATACAATTTGAAATAAACAAATACACAGTGTATTCACACACAAAAACAGATATAGACAAAACAAACAAATAAATAAAGTTTCAATGCGAAAATGGACAAATATATAAGTAAATACATAAATTGGACCATTCGTTGCCTTAAGCATGTCGACCTTGTGCAAGGCCGCACTTGTATTTTCTATACTGTCCCAGTTTTAACAAATGTCGCAAAGGAAAAATGCAAAACTTCGTTGATCTGCTTCGATTGAGAGATCAGTACGTCCAACCCTTTGCCAGTGGGGTTTTGAGTTCCGTGTCAAGCTCAGGTAGGGAGCCGGTGTTTGTCACTGTCGTCTAGAATTTAGTCACAGAGAACTGGTTAGTGCATGGTACTGTCTTCACCCGAATACAACGTACAGTCATTATTGTTGTATCTAGACTCAAAGTTGCCCAAAATACAGCTACAATGACCATACGTTGTATTCGGGTGAAGACGGTAGGCAGAAGGAGAGAAAAGGATTTTCAGCCTGAAACGGAGGGCCATTTTCAGGCCCTCATTGTTTCGACCTGCTCCTAAGACTCAGGCACGGAAACAGGGATGCGGAACAGGCCCAAAATAGCCTGTTCCTCACGT